TAAATTAAATGACATTCCCTCAAAGAAGCTTTCACTGACTCCCCCCAGCCCCAGTTAAAATTATGTTACCCTATTTTTATCTTCTGTGGCTCTCTTTTCCTTTGAAGAACCTATCACAGTTTATAATTAAATATTTGTTTGTGTGTTTTCTCTCCAAAGACCATGTCTGTCTTGTTCACCACTATTTATACAATGCCTGGGACACATTTGATAGACATTAATAAATATTTGTTGAACAACAACAAAAAAGAACACGTGAAACCCATATGTGAATTGGCACCCTCTTCAGACTATCCTGGGGAAATGTATATCACACTCACCTTCCCTAGAAGACACTGAAACTCACTGCAAGTTTTTTCATCACACAAAATGAGACCCAGTATTCATTTGCTCCCACTTATGTGCCTAGCCTGCTAACTTTTCACTCTTCGTTCCCAAGGTTTCTATCGGAAAAGCCCTTGAACCAGTTCCTATAACATGCCCACTTAGTTGGCTGAAAGCTCAGAGAGGACATAAAATTTCAGGGCATCATCAAATTAGGAGACCAAAGTGTGGGGGTAATTGTCAGAAGTGCTTTTGTCATAATTGTCTTGACTATTTTCTAGTGTAGATTACGTTCCAGATGAGCCTGTGATGTGACCCTTGGGAGTAGTTTGCAATCACCATTGGCCTACAAGGAGCCATCTATGTGCTCAGTAGGGTCTAGTAAAGGATAATATTAATGCTTCAACAGCCAGAGCTCTTGAAGTAGCAACTGAGGTTGTATGGGAAAGAGCCAGGTGTGACTCAAGGGCATGGGCTCACAAGGGCTGCTTTCTTAGTAATACGGAGTCCAAAGACCTTAACTCTGTAAGAGACAGCCAAAAAAGGAGACCCTTGTAGAGATCTGAGAGAAAATAGATGGTCTTCTAACTCAGATTTTACTTCTTACCCCTCAACTCTAACTCCCACATCCAACCCTTCCATCATTAGAATTCATTCTACCTTGGTATTAGCCCCAGTGTCCACTCCACACTCTAGCCTCCATCTTAATCCTAATCCTAACATTATCTGGAAAAATTAATCCCAGATTTCAGACCTAATCCCAACCTTAATTCTAAGAGCTTAACAAAGGTGCCTTGCCTCGTCACTGAGTTATTTTCCTCAGTTCCTCTCTCTTATGTCCCGTGACCCTGACCCACTCCTGGAAACAGAGAATCCTATAACACTCTGGCCCCCTGGACAGAATGGAAGCCAGTTTTAATAATTCTAAAAAAGAAAAGGGCCTTGCACTGCTAGGAAAGAGAAAATGGGGCATCTCTCACCTGCAAGGGAGGCAGTGACCATGCCCAGTCACAACATGTCATCTTTGCCTAATTCAGACAGCTCAGCCCTCTGAAACTCCAGAAAAGATGCAACCCAAGTTACCTGTGTGGACTTAGGAATGTGTGATATAGCTGGCCCAAGAGCAGAAGATCTGAGACCTTTCAGCGAAATGATAGGGTGAGATTAGATGAGTGTCTTTCAAGCCACATTCTCAGCAAGAATTCTGGTTTCTGCGTTCCTCCCACACTTGGGTTTGGTTTTCCAAAAGGGTAAAAAAAACAACAACTTTTTTTTTAAAGTCACTGAACTAGACCCTCTCTAAGGTTTCTTCTGGCCCTCGAGTTTTCTGATATGCAGTTGATTCTTTTAGTCACTTACGGTCCAGTTGGCATGGATAAACTCTCAGAGCCAAGGGAAAAGAAGAGCAACCAAGCATACCATCTTCAGCCTTTCTCAGGAAACTAAAAATAAATTAAATAAAATGAAGAGTGCAATGGAGAAGAGAGGAGAGGGGAGGAGAAAACGCTGCCATTTCACATCTCCTGTTCCCATGTTCGTGAAGCAATTGCCGGTTTCCCTGCTGCTCACACCCATCTTGGTGTGAAATTTGATTTTACTGACTTTTAAATTGCTTTTCAAGAATGGAAATACTGTTTTTCCCAGAAATAGTTGACCTTTGTGGGGAAAAGTTCTCAAATAATGAGAAAGCAAGAAAAC